TGTGTGGGGGGAATCGGCGTCGTGATGCATGTCTGTACACCTGATGAGGTACGCAGACACACATACACCCTTGCTCGTCCGCCGGGACTCATACAGATATAAACATATGTGGACAATTTGAGATTTGACATATATATGTATATGGGTGGTGTTGTGTCTATACATACACATTTGTATTTTGAAATTCACACATTTTTCACACACACACACACACACATATATATATATCTATATATATATATATATATATATGCGTGTGTGTGTGTGTGTGTGTGTTATGTCTTATACTTGTAAATGTGTTATACATATTATTTATATAAATATGCATTCACACCCTGTGTTTCTATTAACAAATTATGTAATTTAACAAAATATAAAATTCAGCAAAATGTACTACAAACAAACATATACACGCATATGTGTGTATGTGTGTGCATGTTGTGTGTGTGCGTGTGTGTACAAGTATTTATGTAAGAATTCCATCCTAATATTATCAGTTCCAATCTTCATCTGTTTGCTTGTCTCAGTATCTGGCATATCTTCCGATAACACAGCGAAAAATAACGAACTATTCATGGTTACTTCCACATCCGGTCGCCGACTGCCCACCGAAAATTAGCGCCATTTTATATTCACTAAAGCTACAATACAACTTCCGGTCAATGGGATTGTGTCCAAATACGTATCATATCCAAGTGCTTTTTTACCGGAATAAGAGATGCCATCGCTCATTTGGTTGTATTTTAAATTTGTCCATTCCTAAATTCTAATTCTGTAAAGGCCTTTGACATACCATAGGGAACTACTTTCCACACAGCCTAACCAATAATCTGTGGCTGTATTTTCGCTTATACGTCCTTTGTATTTAGTCATTTTATTGCTTAATATTTGTTCATTTTCGTTATTTTCCAATTGGTCTTCTTCTTCTTCTTCTTCTTCTTCTTCTTCTTCTTCTTCTTCTTCTTCTTCTTCTGTTTTTCTTCTGTTTCTTTATCTTCTTCTGTTTCCTCTTCTTCTTTTTCTACTGTTTCTTTTTCTTCTCCTTCTTCTTCTTCTTCCTCTATTTCTTCTTCTTCTTCTTCTTCTTCTTCTTCTTCTTATTATTATTATTATTATTATTATTATCATTATTATTATTATTCTGCCTCTACAAATACTACTACTTTAATACTATATTATTCATCATTCATTTAGTTTCCGTTACTTCTTGAGATAACGCATTTTCATTATTGGAAAATATATCCATTCATATAAATATACATATTTCATTTTAATATCTATCTATCTATCTATCTATATATATATATATATATATATATATATATATATATATATATATATATATATATATATAGTTATTTTGGAAGTGCTATCTGATGATCAGGCGTCCTTTAAACAGGCTCTAGTGAAATAAATTATAATAATGATACCATGAAGTGGTTTGTTTTTTTTAATATATATATATATATATCTATATATATATATATATATATATATATATATATGAAAGTTGTGTGTGCGTGATGGCGTGTGTGTCATGATGTATGTGCGTGTAAAAATTAAGATTTAACTAAAATATATCTGCAAAACACAATATGAATGAAGGCGAATAAGCGTAAACACACACACACGACACACACACACACACACATATATATATATATATATATATATGTTTATCCGTGTATATATATATATATATATATGCATGTATATATATTTATATATATATATCTTTATATATCTCTATATATATATATATATTTATATTTATATATATATATATATATATATATCTTATATATATATATATATATATATATATATATATATATATCTTTATATATATATAGATATATAGATATATATATCTTTATATATATATATATCTTTATATACTTATATATATATATATATATCTTTATATATATATATATATTTATATACTTATATATATATATATATTTATATATATATATATATATATATATATATATATATATATATATATATATATATAAAGAATGAAATTGGTTACAACGTAAGTTTTCTGATAATGCCAACTAGTTCCCAATCTCTAAAAGCAGGAAACATTTTGGATCTTTTTGGCCTGTATTAAGCTTACTGATACAAATGATACAAAAAATCTAAAAATGTTAAGGCAATTATTTTTTCAACGATTACGTTGCGTTATATATATATATATATATATATATATATATATATATATATATATATATATGTGAGTATGTGTGTGTGTGTGCGTGCGTGTGTGTGTGTGTGTGTGTTTCCTTGAATATGTAGGACAATGTAAATTTTATAAATTACAAAATTGTTAATCGTATTTTTGTGTAATTACCTTTTCCCGTAAGGTTGTTTAGAAATTTAGTGTTATTTATAATTACTGTTGGATTTGAGTAGCGTTAATTCAATGCCGAAGTGTCGTTCATGCCCCACCAATTCATCCCGACTAGTGAAATTGTGATTTGCCTTAGACTGCTTAATAAATATAAGAAAGAAAGAATTGAATAATAAGAAAGAAAGAAAGAAAGAAAGAAAGAAAAAGAAAGAAAAAGAAAGAAAGAAATGAACAAATAAGAAAGAAAGACTCAAAGAAAGAAAGAAAGAACGGAAGAAAGAAAGAAAGAAAGAAAGAAAGAAAGAAAAAAAAGAAAGAAAAAGAAAGAAAGAAATGAACAAATAAGAAAGAAAGACTCAAAGAAAGAAAGAAAGAAAGAAAGAAAGAAAGAAAGAAAGAAAGAAAGAAAGAAACAACAAGAAAGAAAGAAATGAACAACAAGAAAGAAAGAAAGAAAGAAAGGAACGGCAAGAAAGAAAGAAATGAACAAATAAGAAAGAAAGAACAAAATAAAGAAAGAGAGAAAGAAAGAAAGGATAGAAATAAATAAAAGCAACAGCAAGGAAGAAAGAACAAAAGAAAGAAAGACAGAAAAAAAATAACACAAAGAAAAAAGAAAGAAAAACTCATGAACTGTTAAAAAAGAAAGAAAGAAAGAAATCGATAGATAATAAAAAAGAATGAACAAAAAAATGAAAAAAAGACAAAAAGCGAACAACACAAAATACAGATAAAGAATGGAACAGATAAGAAAGAAAGACAGAAAGGAATAGATAAGAAAGAAAGAAAGAATGAATTAAAACATAAGAAAGAACGAAAGAAAGGAACAATTAAGAAGGAACAAATAAGAAAAAAAGGAACGAAAGAAAAGAATAGATAAGAAAGAAAGAAGAAAGAATGAAAGTGACACAATGGAAAGAAGGGAAAGAAGAGAGAAAGAAAAATGTAAGAAAAAGAAATGAACTGAATAGAATACTAAAAATGAGTGAACAAGGAAGAAAGAAGCGCGAATGAATGAAACGAAGTAGCAAAAAGAAGAAAAGCTGAAAGCTAACGCGAAAGAAATGAACGAATAAGAAGGAAATGAAAAGAAAAAAAGCTTAAAAGAAAGAGAACTACTGAAATTTAGACGAAAATTCTACGCATGCGCCGATGTGTTTCCCTGTAGAACTTTTCATCCGGGGATTTGTAGCTCCATGAAGCCGACTTGAGTAGATTTTATTTCTTTGTTCATCTGCCGACCGCTAAAATCTCCAGCAAAGTCTCCGCTTGCTTGTTTAGATAGAATCGTTCTGAGTTGAGCCACAATATATCCGAGTTTGCTAGCGTCTGGAAAAGGGGATATTTTTGGAGTTTTGAATAGAGAGGAAAAAAAAAACAAAAAAAAAACGAGAAGGGTAAAAAAAGTTAGGTCCCAAGGGAGGTCTTATTGGCGGTAGAAATTGCGAAGAGAAGGTGTAGGTTTTGTGTCCATGATACTGGATCGGGAAATGAGCTGGAATAAATTGATGTCTGCAAGGGAATTTAGAGAATAGAGATGTGTGAGGATGTAAGGATCAGGCCAGGAATGTAAATGTCCCAAAGAGCAAAGAAGACTAAAAAACATAAATGCTGGAGGTGTATAGTGGAAAAGTGCATGGCGAGTAAAACAAATAAAAAGGAAACAGCATAAAATATAAAAAAACGAATATAATTACGAAATTTAGAATTATAGATAAATTTTAACCAGATTTTCAATTAGATTATGAGTCGTTTTAAACGATTCTTGGATATTTTTTTAACAATGATCTAGTACAAGGCCCAAGAGCCTCTCTAGGTAGAAGGTTAAAGAACAAGAAGCATATTTTCTGGGGATATATGGAGAAGATAGCGGCTGAAAGTAGGTCATATCCGCTGATTTAATCGGAAAACTATCAATTAACAGACTTTGGAAGATGCGATATGCCAATCAAAACAACACCCCCTAAAATGCCCGATCTATACGATTAATTAAGCGTAAGGTTAACCAAGGATATATTGATTTAAATTTAATGACATTTTGTTATTTTCATACTTGCAATTGGTATATATTTATTACTCTCTCTCTCTCTTTTTCTGTCACACACACACACACACGCACACACACACATATATATATATATATATAAAGAAATATAGTCTTAAGGCGTGCTATATTTATGGGATAAAGTGCTCAATATCGGAGAGAGAGCGTGTGTAAATATAAAAGTGAACATTGAAGTCCACACTTAGAGGCGACTGTCTGTTTATATATATATATATATATATATATATATATATATATATATATATATATATATATATATATATAGGGTGTATCTCAAATATTTTTAGAACATTGGGGGCGGATCCTTGACACCAAAACAAGGTAAAATGCTCATATAAAATCAGGCGTACGAGCAGACCACAGTCTTCCTAGATCAATAGTCTTTGGTTCCACGGATTCTGTTTCAGCAACGTGGCGATATACAGCCACAAACGTTGGATGATTAAGCTGACTTCGCTCTGGGAACGCAAACTGATACAGGCGTGCAGCCTCGCGCGGTCTTACGTGAAAATCAAATCTGCCTGCTCACGATATGAATACCCTGCCATTGTTAAACGGAACACTTCTCAGTTAACT